GTTTTTTTAATAAGAGAGAAACTTTATTTCCTAGGTTTTTTTTTTTCACTTAATACACAGATGCAGAAGTGGCAGAGGTAACAGACTTACTAGTAATGTTATCTTTCCAATGAGGTGACAAATCAGAGGTGTCACATGAACTGTTGAGATCAGTTAAGATCAAAGAAGTAAGTCTTAGAATGTCTTGGAAAACAGAGAAATATGCGAGGTGTTACTAAGAACTTTACTAAGTTAACACCTTCCCATAAGATTCAGTGACATAACAGTATTATGTGAAATTTGACTCTTTTTACTAATATTAGCAACTAAAATTGATTAAGAATTTGGTATGTGCCATGCATTATACCTTTCATTCATTATCTCATTTATTTATCAAAACGAACATAAAGGTAGATAATATTCCCACCTGCAGACCAGAAATTGAGTTTAAAAAAATGGTTAATTTGTCTACGTATCACAAAAATAGAACATGACAGAACTAAACTTCAGGGTTAAAGTTGGTTTATAGTTCCTTTCTCTGAGGTATACTGCATCTTCAAGATCATACTGATTATGCACAGATGGATGAATAGAAGATATACATCCACATCAGTTTCTTTACGTGGAATGTAAAGTCCACGTTGCCCATATTTTCAGTTATCCAAATCTGCTTTTCAGTTTTTACTGACACAATCACATGGGTCAGTCGTATTTGATGATATTTGTTGACTCAGCACACTGTCTCTTGTTTACTTTCATTCTATTATCAGCTTTCATCTCAGCCAGAGCCTGTTTAAACTAGGGCATGGTTTCTTCTCTCAATCCAAGGACTACATGAATAACAAATACATGAAAATGAACACAATCATTTTCTGAACCCAAAGAACAACTTGATTTGAGTATTAACTGTTTGATGAGATGGACATGACATTTCCTTTCCTTATGGACTCTCACATATGGACATTGATTTATCAACTTTTGATTATTTTTTGATTGATGTGAACAAACGATTGGGTACACAAAAAAACAAGGTGTATTTGCTCCTTTCTGTTTTAGTAAAATTAGGGCTCAGACTTGGAAAATATTCATGTTTCTCTAACATTATGAATGCAGTATCTTTTTAGTATAATAAAACACTTTGTGGTTGGTTTAAACTTTTTTTTTTTTTTTTTTTTTTGAGACGGAGTTTCACTCTTGTTACCCAAGCTGGAGTACAATGGCACAATCTCGGCTCACCGCGACCTCCGCCTCCTGGGTTCAGGCAATTCTCCTGCCTCAGCCTCCTGAGTAGCTGGGATTACAGGCACGCGCCACCATGCCCAGCTAATGTTTTGTATTTTTAGTAGAGACGGGGTTTCACCATGTTGACCAGGATGGTCTCGATCTCTTGACCTCGTGATCCACCCGCCTTGGCCTCTCAAAGTGCTGGGATTACAGGGGTGAGCCACCGCGCCCGGCGGTTTAAACTTTTTAAACATTCTCTTCCAAGCCTTAACTATCCTTGTTTCACTTTCTTCATGATCCAAATGGTACCCCTTAGTATGCTGCCATATAACTTCAACTCCTTTACTCTCTAGTTCTTTAGCTGTACTGACCCTGGAAAGTGCCAATCCTGAATTAATCCAGCCATCTGTCCTTGCTACCCTATGTTCACATAGCATTGCTGGGTAAAGTGCAGCAAATGTTCAGGTCAGGAGTACTGTAAAGAAAGCTGCAGTTCCTAGCCCCAGCTGGGTCCTCAGCATGGCGCATGTGATCCTCTCATCTTCCTGAATACAGCCACTCCCCTCAGGCCCCCTTTCCACCCCTCACTTGTTGCTCTCCTCCAATGACATCAGGTTTTATTTCACTGAGAAGCTGCCTACTCCATGTACCTTTGGAAGTAAGGTGGAGTTTAAAGAAATCCTGACATTTCTGCTCCTTCCTTCTTTTCTTTAAGGTCAACAATATTTGAAGCAACTCTGTTTACTCAAACATGCAATGAGTAACTCTTTGAATACATGGCAATATAAAATATTCATCCAGGACTGTGTGTCCTGGATTTCAATGACAGCTGTGTCAATACTGACTTAGCCATATGTCAAATCTGTGAATCCTATCCTCATATACATAGTATTTAAAAGAGGAGGCTATTCAAATCTATCTAAAGATAACATCAGAGTCAAACACTTCAAGGTATTGTAGTAAATGGAGTATTTTGAAAGTGAGACTTTTGACAGTTCTTTGTGCATGTTAAGCAGATCCAGAGCTGCTTACATGAACTTTTATATGCCTACAGAATCTCATATGATACTATATGCTTAATACTCCCTGATAAAGCATTAAATGTTACTAATGTATGTGGTTAAGCCAATTATCCATTGAAACATTGGCTACTTTCAGAAATGGCAGTTTGTAAACTTCTACTTTGGGTCATGGCATTGAATTCATTATTAAAAATATCACTAGTTGAAATGATTCAGAAAGACAATGATTCTCTCCGTTTGAGCATTAGGAGTCTCAATTAAACTAAAATAAAAACTATGAACAATTCATTCTACAAAGTTGGGTATTTATTTTTTAAAAAATGGTGTGCAGAAAGTCAGAAAAGAATCCCCTGAATAATTTTGCATGATTCTAAATATGTCAATTTATTAGGTAATACATATTGTGCAGTTTATTCCTTCATAATAAAGGAATTAGGATGAAGTATATCAACTAAAAAACTCTTGCTATTATGTGTGCCAAGAATAGGGAAAATAGCAGTTTTCTAGAAATAGTAGAAATAGTTAGGCCATTTTTATTAGTTTTAGTAGGATTACAATAATGACTGGGCATGCCTGTAATTCCAGTACTTTAGGAGGCTGAGGCAGGTAGATTACAAGGTCAGGAGATCGAGACCATCCTGCCCAACATAGTGAAACTTGGTCTCTACTAAAAATACAAAAAATTAGCTGGGAGTGGTGGCACATGCCCATAGTCCCAGCTACTTGGGAGGCTGAGGCAGGAGAATCACTTGAACCTGGGAGGCAGAGGTTGTGCCACTGCGCTCCAGCCTGGCAGCAGAAAGAGACTCCATCTCTAAAAATAATAATAATAATAATAGTATTTTATTGTGGTTCTTTTCAACCAATATATTCTTCACCCTTCAACATTTAAAATTTTAAGGACTGTGGTTTGATGATAGTATTTATTCTCAGAATTGGTGTATGTAATAAATAAATGTTTGCTCTCCTAGACATGGTGCTTTGGATAAGGGTGATGTCAAACTCATACAAATTTAGATTTTATGGTACAATAGACTAAGAAAAAATTGTTTTTTTTTTTTTATTTTAAAACCTAATTCTAGTAGTAAATAAATCATAAGAAACAAAATTGAATGAATGATCCTATTAGTTTATTTTAAAGTCACGGTGTTTGGCTCTGTTATCTCTATGCCACTATATTTCAATGTTTTCAAAATAGACATAGTGTACATTTGAATTAAGGGCTTAATTTATAAAGTTTGAATATGAAAACCAATTGTATCTAGGATATAAATTAAGACTTACTCAGATAGAGAGGTTTTTGGGGGTTTCATGTATGTAGGCAATAAATTCTTATTTGGATCATCAAAATCAATTGTCCCGTTCCTTTTAAAACTGTATTTTAGTATTTAACCTTAACATTTTTATGTAAATGCATGGTTTAGAAATATACAAATAAGACTTAGGTTGAAACATCCAGGTGCCGCCTTACTGGACATCCGTTGTTTGATCAGGAAGTATTAAAATAATCTGAAGCCAGTGTTATGTCTTCCTAACTATTATTAGCTGTTTGAAAAGATCAGATTCTCTTTTATCTGAAGATGCCTTATTCATTGGAAATTAAATGTTAAAATACATTCGAAGATACCATTACGCTCAAGTAAAATGGAAAAAGAGAAGCAACAAAACAAAACAAACAAACAAAATCTGTGAAATCACATTGTGAAGCAACTCGTATCTTATTTGCATGTTAACCTTGACCTTATGGCTCCAGAATATTTAGTGAACCTAAAGATACGTTTTGCATCTACATACAGATATCACCTTCATTTAGCTACACAATATATACTGTTTCAGTGCTTTAATATAAAGGGAAAATGATTAATTTTGAACATGTCCTAAAGCAAAAAGTTCTTTTTACTCTATTGTATAACATTAAATTCAAAAACTCTTTTATTGCTACCACTCCGTTTTGTCACGTCTTTTTATAAAAAGATTTCAATGATGCCCTTAGTCACTTTGCAAATCACTTATTTTCCAGTCTTCCTGATTTAAAATATGCTAGTCCCAGTGTCATGATACACTGGCCAGAAACTATATCACTGGACATTCTTGCTACTGCAACAGGTGTTTGTCAGTTTCTTAAGTTGCTTTCCTTTCCCCTGAGGTGGTGTTATTTCCGGTACATTCCAAAGGCTCTGAAAAAAACTTCTGCAGTCTCCTGCCAAGCCAAATCATGACTCCAGGCTCAAAGTTATTTAGAATCCATTGTCTTCCAGGTTTATTACACAGACAAATTGTGTACGTCTTTCCATATTTCCAACTTTTAGCAACTAAAATATTTACGAAGAGTTTGGTAAAACTAAAACTGAAAATAAAAGCGATTTTTATCCAGAAGCAAATGCTCTGGATATCTGGGAACAGGGTTGATTCTATTCCTGGCAAACCTGATGCGAAAAGGTTTTCATCATCCAACTAGACCACCCTGAAATCTGACATACGCATAAACAAAATAGACCTTGATAACTTGCAGTGTATATGCTTATGTTTTGCCCTAGAAATCAGGCCTCTGCACACAGTTTGTGGCTGAGCTTTTTATTGCAGAACTTAGGAGCAAAATATTGGTACCGATTGCTTATGTATATAGTTTTTTCCTTGTCATACATCTCTCCCTTACTTCATCAGGTGAAACCCAGGCCCACCATACTATCAGTCAGTCACAGTCATATCTCTCTTACACACACACACTTTAGAACTATGACAAGACAACAAGAAGACACGATTGCTCAAACCAACCTTTTGGAAGTTTCTCAGTTCCGCTGAAGGCGACCAGAGTAAGAATATGTACCAGTGGAATGTTGACGAGCTCTCTCATGATTAATCCAGGCTCACGCAGGACAAAGTTCCTTCTGGACAACACAAGGAAAATGCCTCCACGGTTTACATTTTAAAGCATAGTTTGTTGCAAAAGGGTCGTCTGCTAATGACTGTTTGTGTCAGCAGCTCCACAGGCTCTAAGTATAATCAGGAATTCTCAGACTTGGCTGCAATGATGGACACAACCAGCTGGTGAGTATCCACGTAGGCCAGTAACGCAAGTGTAGGGCTGGAGGAACAAGGGCAAGAAAATCCCTTTAGAATCCCTTTTAAGACAGTGGCAGAAGACAATACCACATGCCTTTTGCAACCATTACTGTATTTTCAGAGGTATAGGTGTCCTGACCTTCGGATTCAGCACCCCATCTCTCCTGGACTCAAACCAGAAATCTGGGCCTATTTAATCTCCATTCTTCTCCTCTCTCACCCGACTCCCACTCCCACATTCAGCCCATTCAAATTCCTACAGATTTTTACAATGAAATAGTCCTTGTACTACCTTCTCTCTGTCTTGGGTCTTACCATTCTCTATCTTTTTTCAGATAGTCCCTCTAGTTCAAAATCCTTTCGTGCCTTCTCATCACATAAAAATATATTTAAACCTGCCTAATCTGCCTAATATGACATGGCTTTACTGTAATCTGCATGCTTTGTTGTATGTTAGTATTATCTTTTACAATCCTTTTTTCAGAGTCAGGGTCTTGCTCTGTTGCCCGGGCTGGAGTGCAGTGGTGTAATCATAGCTCACTGTAACCTCAACCTCCTGGACTCAAGTGATCCTTTCAGAGTAGCTAGGACTACAGACACCTGCCACTACAGCAGGCTAATTTATTTTTATTTTTTGTAGAGATGGCAGTCAGGCTATGTGACCCAGGCTGGTCTCAAACTCCTGGCCACAAGTGATGATCTCACCTCGCCCTCTCAAAGTGCTGGGACTAGAAGCATGAACTACTGTGTCCAGCCTCATGCGGCTCTTATATTCAACCTGCTGATGGTTCCCTGTATACAGCTTTCCTGCTTCCATGAATTGTTCATACTGTTCCCTTCTCTTGGGATACTACTCCCCTCCTTTCAACCCAGTTCAAATCTCTCTCAACTTGATTATCATCTCCTCCTGGGAGAAAAATCCCATATCTTTCCAAAGCTGTGTTATGTTTGTCTTCTCTGGGTTTCCATAACATACTGTGCACATCTCTACCATTGCACCGACCATTTGATTTTTTTCCCCCTCATGTTGGTGTCTCCTTCATTCTTTGGCCTCATGAGTTCATTTATAGAAATTTAGAGTCAGGTAGTGTGATGCCTCCAGCTTTGTTCTTTTTGCTTAGGATTGTCTTGGCTCTTCGGGCTCTTTTTTGGTTCCATATGAAATTTAAAGTAGGTTTTTCTAATTCTGTGAAGAAAGTCAATGGTAGCTTGATGGTAATAGCATTTAATTTATAAATTACTTTGGGCAGTATGGCCATTTTCACGATATTAATTTTTCCTATCCATGAGCATGGAATGTTTTTACATTTCTTTGTGGCCTCTCTTATTTCCTTAAGCAGTGGTTTGTAGTTCTCCTTGAAGAGATCCTTCACATCGCTTGTTAGTTGTATTCCTAGGTATTTTATTGTAGCAATTGTGAATGGGAGTTTGCTCATAATTTTGCTGTTATTGGTGTATAGGAGTGCTTGTGATTTTTGCACATTGATTTTGTGTCCTGAGACTTTGCTGAAGTTGTTTATCAGCTTAAGGAGTTTTTGGACTGAGACGATGGGGTTTTCTAAATATACAGTCATGTCATCTGCAAACAGAGAAAATTGGACTTCCTCTTTTCCTATTTGAATATCCTTTATTTCTTTCTGTTATCTGATTGCCCTGGCCAGAACTTCCAATACTATGTTGGATAGGAGTGGTAAAAGAGGGCATCCTTGTCTTGTGCCTGTTTTCAAAGGGAATGCTGCCAGCTTTTGCCCATTCAGTATGATATTGGCTGTGAGTTTGTAATAAATAGCTCTTATTATTTTGAGAGACGTTCCACCAGTAGCTAATTTATTGAGAATTTTTAGCATGAAGGGGTGTTGAATTTTATTGAAGGTCTTTTCTGCATATGTTGACATAATCCTGTGGTTTTTGTGATTGGTTCTGTTTATCTGATTGATTAAATCTATTGATTTGCCTATGTTGAACTAGCCTTGTATCCCAGGGATGAAGCCAACTTGATCTTGGTGGATAAACTTTTTGATGTGCTGCTGGATTCAGTTTGCCAGTATTTTATTGAGGATTTTCACATCAGTGTTCATCATGGATATTGGCCTGAAATTTTCTTTCTTTTTTTTTTGGGGGGGGTGGGTTGTGTCTCTGCCAGGTTTTGGTATCAGGGTGATCCTGGCCTCACAAAACGAGTTATGAAGGAGTCCCTTTTGTTCTATTGTTTGGAATAGTCTCAGAAGGAATGGTACCAGCTCCTCTTTGTACCTCTAGAATTCAACTGTGAATCTGTCTGGTCCTGGGATTTTTTTGGTTGGTAGGCTATTAATTACTGCCTCAATTTCAGAACTTATTATTGATCTATTCAGGGACTCAACTTCTTCCTTGTTTACTAAATCAGCATGGTACTGGTACCAAAACAGAGATATAGACCAGTGGAACAGAACAGTGGCCTCAGAAATAATGCCATCTCATCAATACAACCGTCTAATCTTTGACAAACCAGACAAAAACAAGCAATGAGGAAAGGATTCCCTATTTAATAAATGGTGTTGGGAAAACTGGCTAGCCATAGGCAGAAAACTGAAACTGGACCCATTCCTTACAACTTATACAAAAATTAACCCAAGATGGATTAAAGACTTAAATGCCAAACCTAAAATTATAAAAACCCTAGAAGAAAACTTAGGCAATACCATTCAGGACGTAGGCGTGGGCAAAGACTTCATGACTAAATCACTGAAAGCAACGGCAACAAAAGTCAAAATTGACAAATGGGATCTAATTAAACTAAAGAGCTTCTGCACAGCAAAAGAAAGTACCAGAGTGAACAGGCAACCTGCAGAATTGGAGAAAATTTTTGCAATCTATCCATCTTACAAACGGCTAATATCCTGAATCTATAAGAAACTTAGACAAATTTACAGCAAAAAAACTAACCCCATCAAAAAGTGGGTGAAGCATATGAACAGACACTTCTCAAAATAAGACATGTATGTGGCCAAAAAACATATAAAATAAAGCTAATTGTCTGGGTGTGGTGGCTCATGCCTGTAATCCCAGCACTTTGGGAGGCTGAGGTGGTGGATCATAAGGTCAGAAGTTTGAGACCAGCCTGACCAAATGGTGAAACCCCATCTCTACTAAAAACACAAAAATTAGCCGTGTGTAGTCCCAGCTACTCAGGAGGCTGAGGCAGGAGAATCGCTTGAACCCAGGACACAGAGGATTACACCACTACCAAGATTACACCACTACCCTCCAGCCTGGGTGACAGAGCAAGACTCCCTCTCAAAGAAAAAGAGAAAAATCTCATCATCACTAGTCATTATAGAAATGCAAATCAAAACCACAGTGAGATACCATCTCATGACAGTTAGAATGGCAATCATTTAAAAAGTCAGAAAACAACAGTTGCTGGAGAGAATGTGGAGAAATAGGAAGACTTTTACACTGTTGATAGAAGTATAAATTAGTTAAACCATTGTGGAAGACATTGTGATTTCTTAAGGATCTAGGACCAGAAATATCATTTGACCTGCAATCTCATTACTGGGTGTATACCCAAATGATTATAAATCATTCTATAAAGACACATGCACATGTATATTTATTGCAGCCCTATTAACAATAGCAAAGACTTGGAACCAACCCAAATGCCCATCAATGATAGACTGGATAAAGAAAATGTGGCACATATACACCATGGAGTACTATGCAGGCATAAAAATGATGACTTCATGTTCTTTGCAGGGAGAAGGATGAAGAGGATGAAGCTGAAAACCATCATTCTTGGCAAACTGACACAGGAACAGAAAACCAAATACCACATGTTCTCACTCATAAGTGGGAGTTGAACAATGAGAATACATGGACACAGGGAGGGGAACATCACACACTGGTGCCTGTCAGGGGGTGAGGGGCTAGGGAAGAGATAACATTAGATGACAGGCTGACAGATAGAGCAAATGACCATGGAACGTGTATAGCTATGTGACAAACCTGAACGTTCTGCACAAGCATCCCAGAACTTAAAGTATAATAATAATAGAAGTATTAAAAAAGTTGAGAAATAAGCATATTAACTTTATCATTAATTTTGATAGCAAAAATTGGAAATGAAAATATCTAACAATGAGGATAGATTAATTACATTATATTACATCTACATATTAGAACATTAAAAATATTTAAAGTGATAATGCAGAAAATGGGTAATGCCAAGGAAAGATGTTCACAGTAAGGGGTTGAATGAAAAAAGTAATTATTGTATTTCTAGATGAGTTTGCAGAAAGTTTTTGGATGTACATTTTTTGTGCAATTCTAAAACCAACATAAGAAAAACAGAAAGGATATATTGTGAAAAATTAATCTCTTGCTTGCTCTAGACACACAGCACCCTATCCTTGTGGCAGCAATTATTCACTTATTTTATTTTTTAATCTTTCAGAAGTAACTTATTCTTATGCAAACATAGGTATGAATAAAGAACTCATTTTTATTCAAATGACCACACTATTGCACAGTCTAAATTTCCTACCAAGAGGTAATCATGGTTTCTAATTTGCTATGCATTCTTCTAGATATTTTTGTGTACATTTACACACACATATATATGTATGTGCAGAAATATGTAGTTTTGTTTTGTAGCAAGGCTTTTATGAATGGTATCTTCCTCTATGTAGGTATCTGCTTGCATTCTTAAAAAAGCAGATGACAAGATAGAATTAGACATGCCAAAGATTTTGAGGGGAAGTGCTTGTGAAGAATAAAGGGGAGAGAGGACATATGCAGGAGGTGAGAACA